CAACAAATAGTAGTGATTTATAAGAAGTAAATAATGTGTCATAAGTAACGTGTTGAGATAAAGGATATAAAACTAAATCCTTTACTACTTGAGCTAAGTGAAAGGATAAATTGTAATAGTAATCCTCAAGTATGCTAAAGGACGACTCAATGATCACTTTATAATAGCATTATCCTACATAGACTTCGATAAATTAAGAGATCACTTTGAATTCTTGAATATATTAGATTTAGAGCCTATTTTGGAGAGGACATATTTTGATTTTATACTTGCAAATCATTACATGCAATAACAATATTAAATCTAAAAATGGATAAATGAAATCTTTTTAAGCATTCATAAAGTGAAAAGGAAATGTCTCTTCATAAAAAATGATATCTCTTAATATAAATATTTTCTTACTTTGAATGTCATAAAGTTTGTGCCTTTTATTTTATTTGGGTAGCCATGAAATATGCACATTTTAGCTATCGGCTTAAACATAGTTCTGTGAGCCAATAAAGTTGAAGCGAATATTAAACATCTAAAGACATGAAAATGATAATATTCCATCTTTTGTCTATAAAGTAATTCATATATAGACTCTTCTAAAAAAGAGTAATTCATATAAAAACTAATTATTCAACAAATGTGAAGGCATACGGTTGATGAGGTAAGTGGTAGTTAGAATGCATTTATAGAAAAAATATAGTGATATAAACAGTAAATAGAGAGCTCTAACATTAAGTAAATACTTATGTTTCCTCTCAACCACAAAAATTTTATTGAGATGTTTTAATACAAGAATATTGATTGATAATGCCTTTACTATTGAAGAAATCAATGAGCTCAAGCTCTTTTTGCATTAATTAGTTGTAAGCTTTTAATCTTCAAATCAAAATGAGTTCCAATTATAAAAAAAAAAAAGAATTAACAATGGCTCTGTCAAATTTATTCTTAAGGAGAATAACTCATGTAAACTTTATATAATCATCAATAATTATTAAGAAATATTGATGCCCACTATACATCACAATATATGAAATCAAAGGGATTTAAGACATATTATTTTAGGAGACAATGGGTAATCTTCTCTACTTAGCTAAACAACACATATAATAGAGATCATTATTATAGCAATCACTAGAAATCCTAAGTTGATTCTTCACAGAAGCTAGTATTTTGGAAGATATGTCTAAGTCTTTTATGTCAAGCTTAAGTCGAAACAATAACAGATGAATAGGATTGATTCTCAACTTGTAAGTGATCTATGGCAAGAAAGTATAACTCTCTAAATTCTTTACCCATGTCAATCATCCTTTTGGTATGTAGTCTTGAATCAAAAAGTGATAGGGAAATAAACTAATCATGCATGAAGATGTCTCGCTAGTTCCAAGGGTAGAAAGTAGGTTATATTTAACTTGTGGAACAAATAATTCAAGTCCACATGTATATACATATATATATATACACAAACATATGAAGTGTTCTTTTTTATAAGTCATAAGATCTATTTTTCAATTACTATTTTACATCTATATGTATTTGTATTATGAATTTATTATTTCTCTAAAATGTAAATTTTTCTTTAATATTTATTCATTTAAATGCTAGAAAGACTTACAAATTTGCCAACAACTAATAATGTAAACGAGAGTTTGCCAATTAGTTGTTAGGTTTACATCTAACTGATATACTATATATACGCCAAAGAGTTTTAGCTTCTCTCCTCCATTACTCGATTAAGATTGTCACACTCTTGCTAGCAAATGAACTTGGATAGGGTGAATCCCGCATATTTACTCTTCAAGAATTCTCTCTCTATTAGAAATATATTTCTTTTTAGTCAACATGGGTATTCCATCATTTCTGACAAAACAAAGGTAATTAACAATATTAAAATTTAGAAAAACGGGCTAACAAGTGACAAGTAACAAGGTGATGATCTAACAGATAAATAAAAGACTGGACATATAATAAAAAAGCCTAACAAGTGACTAGTATTATTGCTGATGAAACGCACAAATAATTTTCGGTTTTATCGTAATCGAACACTCTAATGCTCAAGGCTGTATGAGAGAAATATAAAAGAGGAAGAGAGCTGGGGAAACATAAATATCAATTTAAAAAGTTTTTCTTTTTTAAATGGCTAATATTTATGTGATGTTTGTTTATTTGTTTTGATTTTTTATATTTAATTTAATTCTCGTCTCCATATCTTACGGAAATATATTAAATCCTTTTTTTTTTTTCAACTTATAAGAAGTATCATTTATTACTTGGTGGTTGTCACCTGCCACGTATACGACATCATCTAAAAACTTGTTCCATATGCAAACTTCTACGTAGCTTCTTTGTGAATTATATTATTATCAATTTTATTTTTACTTTATCTTCACAAATTCCCTTTCGTTCTCTTACAAATAAAATGATCAAAGAGAAATTATATACAAACAGTGAATAACAACAAAGCAATACTTACCAAATTACCAATATTATAATTGATTAAAATACGGATAAATAACAGAAGTATTAAAAACATAAATTGCTAATCACAAATTTAAGAATCATAGATGACGTAAATACACAAAAAGAAAAAAGAAAGTATTCAAAATAATAGTAATATACAGTAAAAAGATTACAATAATACGCCATGCCCCTCTAGAAAGAAAGGCAATTACAAAAGGGGAAAAAAAAAAAAAGGAAAAAGTAAAATTCCAACCCCCAAAAAGCATACCCACTACCTACCTAAAAATTCTATTCATCACAACCACGTGGAAAAAAAAATTTATCGTCATCGTCATCGCCATTTTTAATCAACGTCGAACACTTGTTTGATGCCGCCTCCATAGAAGTTTCCGATCGGTTGACCCGGCGGCGATCCGGGTCTGGACTCTCTTGAACTCTGAGAATCCACACGGGATGGTGATCCCACCTTGCTGATTGAACCCATACTCCTTCTCTGCCTCTTTTAACAGCTCGCCAAACAGCGGGTGATTGAAATATATCACCGGTACCAGTACTCGGTGACAGTCGCGGTCATTTTGTCCGATGTATATAGCCAAGTGCCCTTTTGGGATTTGAACCGATTTCTCCTCGTCACCCACTGGTTCGTAACCGGACCCAGGTTTCGTCGAGCACAGTGATTTGGCTCCGTTTGTCAAGCGGCGACCCCAGGTGATGAGTTTGGCGATGGGTTTGGATCTGCACGCTGGTTTTGGAGGGTTAAGCCTCTGGTATCGGGACCGGATCCGTGTCTTACGGATGATCCATCTAGAGATCTGGGTTAAACGCTTGCCGATTTTGAACCCTATAATCTTTTTCATGCTCTGTTTGATCAGAAAGTGAAATCAAGGAGAAAACTAGTTCGTTTGAATGGTATATAAAGATTTGGTGAAAGTGCGGTGAGGTTCAAGAGAAGGGCCATGGATCGGCGATGGACATTGTTAGACGGAAGAGAGTGAGACACACTTCAGATAAAGAAGTTGGTATATTAGACATCTCGTCCCGTACCAAGCAAAAAGAATTTCATCCGAAAATACTCTGTTTGTTTTGGATAAATCACAGAGGAACTTTCTTTACTAAATAACAAAATCCCCTCAAAAGAAGCAGATAATCTGATTTCTGCTCTGTGGTTTTAAGGGTAAATGAGAGAAGAAGCGAGAAAAATAAGGAAGAAGAAAAGCTAGAAAAAGGCAAAAATCAAACCAAGTCCAGAGATGAGGAAACTGGGCTTGCGTTTTTGAAAGAGTAGCAGCAGGTTCGCGAGGAGTTAAATAGAAAGGTGGTGGAGTCAAAGGTCAACAAAAGAATAGTCTGATCATACATGGCTGGCTGGCTCGGAATTGACACAGGGAGTAATCTGGACCGTGTGATTTTGCGATATCAGTGATGGAGATTCTAGGGGTGTGATTAAGCCGTTGAGATTCTCATTTACGGTTGAGATTAAGGAACTTATTATTTAATTAATCAAACGGTTTGCTTCCAAAAAATTATTGGGAAGGACTCCTACGCCCTAGAAAATAAGATAGCATGCAGATTTTTTTTTGCATAGAAAAAGACAAAACACCAATTCACGACCAGATTATACTTTGATTATGCGGCATCACGTGCGTGGCACGTGGGGAAACTGACTCACCTCGTTAGGTTAGAGACAAAATTGTCAAATTCAAAGGAAATAACAAATTAAAAAGACCTGTACTTTCCATCCTTTTTTTGTTTTTTTTTTTTTAAGAAAAAAAGTAAAATTTGTATTTAAATACACTATAGTTTTGAATTTGATTAAAATAACCCTATATATATATATATTTTATTTTTTTCAGCAGAAATAACTGTTTAATTATTCAAACATATTTCAATATTACCAACATTGATCAATAATTAAGCATTAAAAACAAAAAAAAAAAAAGAGAATTTTTTATGCTAATAATAATTTTATAATTGAATGTTACTTTTAAAATTAAATATTTTTAAATAATACAAATCATTATATAACTAAAAATATTAATTGAAAATGAGTCTTTAGTATTGTTTAACTTATAATATTAGTAATTATTATAATACTAATATTAACTCATTATTAGTATCGTTCAACAAAAAAATTCATTCTTGAAAAATTATACTATTCATTTCAATTGTCATTATTTAATTTTAACATAATAATTCATAAATAAACTTCTTATATTAATTGATGTTTTCATTATCTTGAAATTAAACAGAGCTTGCAATTCATCTGGACTAAAAATTATTAAATTAATTTAATTATACAAAAATCGGAATTAACCCTAGAAAAAACAGAGATAAAACCATCAATTTTAGCAAAATAATTAAATATATAACACAAGAATGAGACAAACTGTGTAGACCGCACTTGAAGAAACGTGTATCAAATGGCAACCTTCGCTGCCATGGTACGTATTCCGTACTTGACCGTGCTCCTCCATGTATTTTAGTTTTTTAAACACTATTCATCAACGGCATAAGCAATGACCCACGTCAGCTGCAGATCATGGGTCGGATACTGGGTGACCCGACCCGATATAGGACCCATAACCATCACTTTCCTCACTTAGATCTTTTAATAATTGAAATTAAATGTTTTGCAAGTTGAAAATAACAAATGAAACGAACAAGCAAAACAATCAAATCAATTGGTAGCATTGAAAAAAAAAAGCCAACCATATATATATATATATTTATATTTTTTGGTTTTCAGATTTAGGAAAAAAAAATCTAGATGTTTCATTTCCTAACACAAAATGATTTTTTTTAGAAAAAACAAATATAACTTTAGTTTATTTGTTGTATATCTTTGTCACTTTTACCAAAAGAATTATATTGCTAGACAAAAAGAAAAGAATATTGTTAGTTCAATCAAATATCTAGATATATTCTTGTTAATTTTAATTTAAAAATTTTTGCAAGAAAAAAAGTTAATATATTACAAAAATTTTAAATTATGAATTTAATTTTGAAATAATTTCCGTATAAAATTACAATTTATGTATGTACTGCATATGTGAAAGCTATGACTTTAAAAGTCGGTTGTGATTAATATATTATTAGTATTAATAATCTTTTATTTGTCATATTCTACATATATAATGATATTAGACTTTGAAATTTTCTTTAAGATTATTTTATTGTTACTTTAAAATTTAGAACACATTTATCTATTATGTAGTAATTTCTTTCGTTATTTGTGCCTGTGATTTATATTACATTTTATATATACACATAATTAATGGTCACTTGTTCCTTTGTTGCTTTGAAGAGCCATCATGGCTGTTTGTACATTATATTTTTGCTCATTACTTAATTTCAACTTTTGTTTAAAGTAAAATATTTTATACATATGTGTATGTAAACATCTTTAAATAATTTTTAATTGGTTTATATATTTTAAATTTTTAATATCAATAGTTTAAAATAATTAATTTATTATGTGTTTAACTCGGTGTTTTCTTTTGTTTCTGTTGTCAAAATATAAAAGACTAATTAGACGCTAAAAATTATAATGTCTTAGTTCAAAGTTTTATTTTTAATAAAGATGAAATTAAAAGATCAAAATAAATGTTTTGAGAAATAATTTGTGTTAGAGAAAGTAAATAACATTTTTAATGAGTATATTTTTTAATTTTATATTTTATTAATTAATAAGTAATATTTTAAATAAAAAGATATAATGCTAATTTATTACTAATATTTTTATATTTATTCTCAATTATATAGATAATATTTATTTCAAAATGAAACAATAATAATTTAAGTTCATATTTATATTGAATGAATAAATATATACAAATAATTTAAGTTGTAATACCCGGTCTCAGAATTTAGTTCATGATTAATTTTAACATTTTAAATATATATATAAAATTTATTTTTAAATTAATTTATTTTATTTTTTATTGAATTTATAGAAAAAAAAAAAGGTTATGGATGAAATTGAAAATAACTTTAGAAAAAATAGGTGAAAATTTGGGTTTGATGGGTGTTTTTGAAAGAAAAATCGAAAAATGAGGGTTAAAGTGCAAATAAAAAAAATTTTACCATGTAGGACCACCCAGTCAGCAACCCCGATGAAGCGATCGGACGATCGAGATCAAACGCGATGAACAGTCTAGATTCGTTTCCTCCTTAGATAAGATCGAACGGTCGAGATCGAACGCAATGAATGACCCATATTCATTTCTTCTTCAGGCTCGATCGAACGATCGATATGGAATGCGATGAACGGTCCAGATTAATACGATATGGGTATAAATATCTCGCATCACATTGAACTCAAACCTTAGCCGCTAGCCTCCCACCGGAGAAGAATAACCAGTAGCCAAAGAAGGGAGCTGACCGCTGACCGCTGACCGCTGACCGCCGACTGCCGACCGTCGCCGCACCGAAGCCACCTCCAACCGCCAAAAAACGTAAAAATTATCATATCCTCTCAGAATTCGATTCTGAGCACCCATGTGGCCATATTAAAGCAGAACGAACAACAGGTGAAATGAAAACCGTGGGCAAAGCCCAGCAGTGCCACCACGGGCAAAACACGCAACCTCCTCCAATGAGCCTCTTCTCGTTCCCGTTTTGTGCGATTTTTTCATCGTTGTGTTCATCATTCTGTTTTCTATAGGTTGACCAAAGAAAAAATTCCAGTCGCAAAGGTGAGCTGGTGGAGCTGTCGCACTAAAAAAATTCCACCACTGGTAGATCTTTGTTTTATGATTTTTTAGGCTAATCGAGGCTCCCTGATGTATTTTTTTGCAGGGATATGTATAAAGGCGACCGAAATAGACCAAAACTGACCAAAAACGGCCAGGTCGAGGCAAAGCACCGCCGCAAACGGGGTGTCGTCATCGGAGCACAGCGATGCTGCCGTGCCGGAATCCCGAAATTAGCTGAAAAAGATTTTTAACACCAATTTTGGATTTTTTGAAATATTTTTAGGTATGTGAAGCATGTTT